ATATATATATATAAAGAACTTAAGAGTCCCTCATCAGAAATTCTTATAGTAGGCAATTTTTCTTTTTATTTTTTTAGATAAGAAAGGCTTATTTTCACTATTGAGATCAACGGTCTTATTTGTGAGTATGAACATTTGTGTATCATAAGGTAATGACACAAGAATTTATTAAAAATTAAGCTTTCAACAAAAGGTCACAATAATTGTTATGAGGCTCCAGATAGCTTTCTAAACCCTCTTGTATTGTTTGCCATGTATATATATTGCACGTGAAAATTACACACCTACTAACCAAAGAACAAAGCTTAAAAGTTTAAACGTGGAAATCCATGACATATTTTATTGGCAAACTTGGCATTTTTCATTGGATTCCATTGCATGTGTTTTATTAGCAAACTTGGCAAGTTAACCATGATCTCTGTTTCTTCTTTCCTCTTTCTCCTTTTTTTTTTTTTAGAATTTAACCATGATCATTGTGGTAGGTAGAAAGTTACCATGATCATTGTCTCATAAATAATGTGCACTAACTATAACTAAGATGATATTTAGTATGAGAATTCGTGTAATGATTTGAATCATAATTTGTGATTTATTAAAGTATTTTTTTTTATAAAAAATACACATAAATTAAAAATAATTCTGAATCATAATTTTAAATTTGAGAACAAAATATTTACTAAAATAAAACATAAATGCACCGGTCAATGCACGAAACATTAATAACTAATTTAAAGATTCATCATTAATGGCCTTTTTCAAAAAAGGCAACGAAGAAAGATGATCGCATTATTAATGCCGTGAGAGTGGGGAAAAAAAGGAACTGATAACAATGGCCCAATATTCAGAAAACATTTTTTTTTTTTAAAGGAGAAGAACGTGCGCTGCTATAAAAGATAGCAACATATCTTGGACCATTCTTTCTACTCAACGAGTCGTTCCAAAATAAATAATAATAATTTCAAATCTTCTTCTGACCTTTTCACGTTTCTCGATGCTAGATTCTCCATGTGCATATTACTCCATTTATAGATTTAAATTTTTAATTCAAGATTTGATATTTTTTAAGAATTTTTTTACTGTAATAAAAAAAAATTAGATGTGATATTTTTTAAGAGCTTTTTATTGTATAAATTTAAAATTTAAAATTTAAATTGATGAAATAAATGGAGCTAAAATCACGTCTCAACTCAAATCAACAGAAAGAATTATTTTTACGTTTCTCGAAATAAATAATAATATATTTGCGTATATCTATTTGTCCATATATAATATAGTCCGGGAAGAGTGAATTGGAGCTGTTCTTCTTCTTCTTCTTCTTCAGAGTTCTGGTTTTCGAACGCCATGGCAAGGGCTGAAGTGACGTTGGAGGTCGGAGACGACGGCATTGCGATCATTTCCATATCCAATCCTCCCGTTAATGCCTTGGCTCTCTCAAGTGAGCTTGCTTGACTCGAAGCTTTACTCTGTGATTTTTTTTTTTTAATCTTTTTGTTTGGTTTTGTTTTGATTTTCCGTGGAATTCTTTTGTCGGTGCAGTTTTCGTGGGGCTACAGCGAAAGTTCGATGAGGCGGCGAGGAGAAATGATGTGAAAGCCATTGTTTTGACTGGTGATAAATGATGATTTTTGGATTGTTTTCACTATTTGTGAAACCGTTGTTTGCTTTGACTTTTATTGAACTTTTTTTTTTTTTTGGGGGAATGAAGGCAAAGGAGGAAAGTTTTCTGGTGGTTTTGACATTAATGTGTTCGAGAAAATTCACAAGAATGGTATGGGATTAATCATTAATAGTAATTGCTTTTGTTTAAATCGAGTTTTTGTAACTTGAAAGATTGTATTTTTGGAGTTTGACAATCCATCTTTGTACTGTGGCATGGCAGGGAATATTTCGGCTTTGCCTAATACATCTTTTGATCTTATTCTCAACACAATTGAAGGTCTCTACTTAATCTTAACTTCTAAATTCATGATTTTTTTTTTTGGATAAATTATCCATTTTTAGCTGAACTCTAATTTACTTGAAAAAAAAGAGAAAAAATCCGACTTTAGCTTCATTTTTCACATATAAGAGACGCTTATTATTGTTATTGTTTTGGTAATTATAGAGTCGGAGAAGCCTATTGTTGCTGCCATAGAAGGACTGGCTCTTGGGGGTGGCTTAGAAATAGCACTGGTTTGTACTTTGTAATCAAAGTCAATATGCTATGCCCCTAGTTTTCAATGGCTACTTTGGTTGTGATAAGATTATACAAATGCTTCATTCTAGTTAGCCTATTGCAGGGATGTCATGCGCGTATCGCTGCTCCCGGAGCTCAACTAGGTTTGCCGGAGCTTTCTCTTGGTATTATTCCGGGAGGCGGAGGTACATATCTTTTGTATGCCGTAGTTTGCAAATGTTCAAATGATAAGTAATAACTGTATTATTAAATCAATGTTTTTGCTCTATAAGGCACACAACGTTTTCCAAGGGTTATAGGGGTGTCAAAGGCAGTTGAACTGATGCTGGTAACAAGCTCCTTCACTTATATTCTTCGTTTTTCTTTCTCCCCGCAGGGCCTTTTTCCAAGTTTTGTTATTGATGTAACATTGTGCTTGATTTCATTTGCTTTCCAATTTTTCCTGAAGTAGCTCTTTCATAACCTTTTTAATGGGTTAAAGCAGTTGACAAAAGAGTGCCTAGATTCTTTTCTTTCTTACACTATTGCAGATTTTATCTTTTATTGATGACAATTGATTTGTAGTATGCAATGTTTTTCAGTCATCGAAATCAATACCTTCTGAAGAAGGGAAGAAGCTAGGTCTTATCGATTCCGTTGTGTTTTCTAAAGAGTTGCTGAAAGAATCGCGGACATGGGCTTTAGACATTGCAGAGAAGCGTAGACCATGGATTCGTTCCCTTCACAGGATGGACAGGATTGGTTCTTTGTCTGAAGCACGTGAGATATTGAAAGTTGCCCGGGAACAAGCCAAGAAAACTGCTCCAAATATGCCTCAGCACCAAGCGTGCCTTGATGTGATTGAGCACGGCATTGTTCATGGAGGATACAGCGGACTTCTGAAGGTACTCTTGGTTTTAATTTATTGTCATGGTATTCTATGTGTGAATAACTCTTTTTCAGAAAGTATTGCTTCCCTCTTGTTCCTTTTCTTTCTACTTGAATCTCGAAGAGTTATTATAAGCAACATGCAAGTTTCTTTCTGTTCTAAAGGATAAACACGCTTGGTTTACAAACTTCATCCCCTGTTTATGCATATTTTAATAACTGAGCTTTTCCGATGCAGGAAGATAAAGTTTTCAAGGATTTGGTTTTATCAGACACCTCAAAGGGTCTTGTTCATGTATTTTTCGCTCAACGTGCTGCATCCAAGGTGAAAAATTTGTAGGAGCATCCTCTATTTCCTAAAAGTATTCCCCTATTTTTGTTTCTTTTTATTTCATATTAACTAAATTAATTGGTTGGTGATTTCTATAGATAGTAAATTTTAATTGTTCTAACATATGCATTTCTAGATTTTGTCAATTTTATTTGTTTTCCTTAGGTTATTTGGTTGGTGAATTCTATTGGTTGGTGATTTCTATAGATAGTAAATTTTAATTGTTCTAACATATGCACTTCTAGATTTTGTCAATTTTATTTGTTTTCCTTAGGTTATTTGGTTGGTGAATTCTACTGATAGTAAATTTTAATTGTTCTGACCTATGCACTTCTAGATTGTGTCAATTTTATTTGTTTTCCTTAGGTTATTTTCGACCAAAAAAAAATGTCTACACTCCAGCCTCTTTCTATCTCTCACCATGTTCGTCAACTTACACGTAAGCAGGTGCCAAATGTTACTGATATTGGGCTTAAACCAAGGCACATAAAGAAAGTTGCTATCATTGGAGGAGGGCTGATGGGTTCTGGCATAGCGACGGCACTTCTTCTTAGCAATATAAGTGTTGTTATCAAGGAAGTTAATTCTGAATATGTTCTGAAGGCCAGAAAGATGATAGAAGGTGCTTATATCTTACAGGAAACTTAGAGATCATTTTTCCTGTTTGTAAATATGGCTTTATTATTATGTTGAATGGTTGTGACCCTTATGATAATTTGCATTCTTTGACGCTTTATGTGCACGCTTTACTGGAACTAAACTTGGATAGTCCTTTGACAAGGAGGATAGGTCTGAAAATAACATTCAAAGTTATTATTATTATATGTCAAGTTACAATATGCTCTTATATATGAGAAGAAAGGATCACAGTTTTTGTTGTTTACTGAATTTTGATGCAGCAAATATTCAAGGCTTAATAACAAAAGGAAAGCTGACACAAGACAAGGCAGAGAAGGCCCTCACACTGCTTAAAGGTGTTTTGGATTACACAGAATTTAAGGATGTTGATGTGGTCATAGAGGTAGACAGTCAAATTTCCCTTGCATCGTAGAACACAGAACTTGATTTTTCAATAATACGTGCTAACCAGAGATAAGTTCTTGTAATTGTGCCTGCTGTCATCTTCAAATCTTGTATTTTAATGGTGTTTGAGAGATCTTGCAAATTATCTTGCTGATGAAAAGTAGTTTGATATACTTAATTCTCCATTTGCAGGCTGTCATTGAGAACATTACTCTTAAGCAAACAATATTTAGTGAAATTGAGAAAGTCTGTCCTTCTCACTGCATATTGGCAAGTAACACATCTACTCTTGATCTTCATGTCGTTGGGGAAAAAACAAGATCCCAAGGTCGCATTGTGGGCGCACATTTTTTCAGGTAAGATGGCTCATTCATTCTGTTATTTGCTTATTCTCATCTATAAAGGATGTTTTCTTTGGCACACCCTTTGATGCAGTTTTGTCTTCATTAAGTTATAACATGAGTTTATTTCTTTGTGTGCCTTTTTGATGTGACTCTTTAATCACAGTCCTGCTCATGTGATGCCGCTCCTGGAAATTGTGCGGACAGAGAAGACTTCACCACAAGTAATTCTTGATCTTATGACTGTTGGAAAAATCATAAAGAAAATTCCAATCGTGGTTGGGAACTGCCCTGGCTTTGCAGTCAATAGAACGTTCTTTCCATACGCACAAGGTGCTCACCTTTTGGTCAATTTAGGCGTGGATGTTTTCAGAATTGACAGAGTGATCAGCAATTTTGGCCTTCCTCTGGGCCCATTTCAGTAATCTCCTTTTCTCCAACCATTTGTTCTTTTATGTGTTTATTCGCATGTGACAATCATCTATTTGGCATTTTGGATTCCTCATCTCCAAAGACGACTATAGCGGAGAGCTTAGGAACATGAGTTCTGACTGTGAAATTGCATATAGTCCCAACATTCCAACTTTTTTCTATGTAGTGGTTGCTCTTAAGAATCAAAACCGTACCTCCATGTCTTAAGTTTTTGCGGTTTCAGTATAGCACCAGATGACCCCTGCTGGTCTTCTGTAAAACTGGAAGCAAAGGGACCTGCAACCACAACCAGTTATATTTATGTTGATTGATATGATGATTGTATCAGTTCCCATAACCACGAGTTCATGAAAACTATCCTAAAAACTCCCTTGAGAAGACATATGGTTGTGTGTAATGACCTTTACTTGCAGACTCCAAGACGTGACTGGATATGGAGTAGCCATTGCAACTTCAAAAGTATTTGCCAATGCATTTCCTGATCGAACATTTAAATCACCAATAATCGAGCTCTTACTGAAAAGTGGAAGAAATGGTAATATGATACTCCACACAATTCATATATGACTGTCCCTTTTTCGATTTTGAGAATGCTTTCGTGTGTTTATCATTTTTTTCTTTCTTTCCACTTGTGGTATTTAGGTAAAAACAATGGAAAAGGATATTACATTTATGAAAAGGGAAGCAGGCCAAAACCCGACCCGAAAATTCTACCGGTTCTTGAGGAGTCTCGGCAACTTACAAATATAATGCCTGGAGGAAAGGTATCTTTCTCTCCGTCAAAATACAGATCACGGTTCACATAGATAATAGAACAGTCGGAGCTGCTTTTGGTTATTTTGTGCATTTGCCGTGTATTCTAGTTAATGCACTTTGGGACTTTGCACATTCATGTCTTCTTGATCATCTATTATATTAGTAGTTAATGTCTTTATTGGACCATGGCGACAGCCCATATCTGTAACGGACCAAGAAATTTTGGAGATGATACTCTTTCCTGTGGTGAATGAGGCATGCCGGGTTTTGGAAGAAGAAGTAGTTGTCCGAGCATCAGACCTCGACATTGCAGCAGTTTTCGGAATGAGTTTCCCATCCTACCGGTGAGGGCTTATGGCCTTTATACTTGAACTTGCTATGCAGCAAAATATTTTTAAAACTTCGTTCCAGAAATCTCTCCCATTTTCAACCAGCGAAAATAAACTTATATCCAGCACCTTTTTATCTTCCTGCTCTCTGCCTAATGTTCGTCTTCAGGAATTTTAAAGCAAATAGAAAGGGAAAAGAAATAAAAGAATCGTTTACTTCTGCTGCATTTTAGTAGATATAGAATTAGGTGGCAATATTTACCACCACATAAATTAGTCAAACAAAACATAAAATTACTCTCTCAATTGCTTTTGCTAACAGTAATCTTCATAGTGTTTAGTATTCTTCAAGCTAATGATATTTGCAATCTTTCTCAAAGTAGTCGTATCCTATCTATTGTGGCAGGGGTGGTATTGTTTACTGGGCAGATGCGGTTGGGGCCAAGCATATTTATTCAAGTCTCAAGAAGTGGTCCGACAAATATGGTAGCTTCTATAAACCATCAAGGTTTTTGGAAGAAAGGGCAACAAGAGGCGTGCTACTGGTAAGAAACTTCAACTCTAGTATTAGGCTTTGTTCGTTTCACCATTCAAATCACAACTCAAAACTTTTTGCCATGGTGTTTTCTCTCACAAAAATTCATTTTCCTCAACTCGAAGAGCGAAATGAGCGGGACCATTATAGCTTTGTTGTTTCCTATTTGCAAACGAACATTGAGAGATTGAGCTACCTCAAACAACTTAGCACTATTCTTAAACAGAACAAAGAACTATTGATGTGTTCCATGTTGAATGGTTTTAATTCTTATGAATCCTCCGCACATAATTTTTTGCTTCAAAAGCAACTTAACGTATTAAAAGAGAGGGTTTAAGTCTCCTTTTCTCCTGCAGAGTGAACCTGTTTCGTCATCGGCGGCTTCAAGGGCAAGATTGTAAGCGATGAAGCACGCATGCTTTTCCTCGACCTTAGTGAGTACTCAGGTTAAGAAAATGAGTTGTTGATTCATATCTTCATAATAAATTCCCAAAATTGCAATAAAAATCGACTTTCAGAGTTGTATTTTGTTATGCTTATTGTGCCTTTTTGGGATGGAAGTTTCTTAAACATTACTCTGCGAGATGTATTAAAAGTGTTGAATTCCATGCATTGATTTTATAGAGTAATGTAGATTAATTTGAGAAGTTTTGGATTTGGTACGATAATATACACATCGATGTAGAGAGATGCAATGAAGCAGCGCATATGTACTGATTACGTATGATGTTCAAATTGTTGTTGTATTGCTTGGGCTCTTTGATCATTTGCATCTTTTGCATCTTTTCTAATTTTTAACTTTTTGCTTATATCACAGTTTATTTTTAATATATACTTATCACCATATATAATACCACATTCTTATATCACAGTTTATGACATATAACAATCTTAATATATACTTATCTTCATAAATACTACCACATTCTTTAAATGGTAATATGCTTACTTTAGAGTGTGCTTCGAAAATTAACCTTGCTTATGGTGATTATAGTAGTAATAATAAAAAAGATTTTTTAGCTTATTTAGTCCCCAACACTTTTTTTTTTTAAGAAAAAAAGGACATTAACTCTAAAATTAGTATTCGGTTGGATTTGTACTTCATAGTTGCCCGAGTGGAGAAAATCATAGAACTTACTTTTTAAAAGTATATAGGTATGAATTTTTACCACTCATTCTTGATTAATATTATTTTGCTAGAATAGTTATTTGACTAAGAAGATTATTACTAAAAAATAAGGGGTAAAAATCTTAACCCATGTACTTTTAAGGGATATTTGTATTCTTTCTCCGCGTTGTGTGTCTTACCACAGCATGCCTTATTTAGGGCCAGTTTAGAAAGTGTAAAGGATATTTGTTTCTTCGGAAATACTAGAAAATAGGCTAATATGAATAGCGTAAAAAAGTATATATGTCAATTTTTAGTTATAGAAATTAATAGGCCATAACTTATCAAGTTATGATTTATAACTAGATAAGTTATGGACAAACTTGTCAAGTTATGGTTCATAACCAAATAAGTTATAGACAAACTTCTCAAGTTATGGTTCATAACCAGATAAGTTATGGACAATAACTTGTCAAGTTATGGTTCATAACCAGACAAGTTATGGACGAAAACAATAATTTGGCCTATTTTTTAATTTATGTAAACTATTGGCCTATTAATTTTAATTCATCTCAAGTCTTGACCTATTTTTCTCTTTCTCCCTTGTTTCTTTTCTCCGCGTTGCGTGTCCTACCATGCTCTATTTAAGGCCCGTTTAGAAAGTGTAATTAAACCATAATTTGAGTTTTAATTTAAATTTTTTGTGAGAGAAGTATTTGCGAGAATTTTTTTATTTAAATTCTTTATGAAAAAAAACTCTATAGCAGAATTTTAGTTTGAGTTTTCAGTATTTATGCCAATCAACTCCTTAACAATATCATTTTCTGGGACAATTTGAATTCAAATTAGATAGACGAAGAAGTAGACTATACGAGGTCGTAGTCAGTGCCACAATTTTCGTTTCTCGAATCTGTCTTTGTTCATTACTGAAAACTACTCACCTCATTTTATTCACGGCCTGATTCATGCTTGATTCATGCTGTAAAACAAGAAGAAAGAACTCTATTTTATTTTTCTTGGTATTTTTTACATTTGTCTCCAAATTTGTAGTTGGATAACTTATCCCTAACTTTTAATTAAAACAATTTATCACCAAATTCACAATTATTATAATTGTGTCCCATTTTGATTACGTAAAAGTACATTTTCTACAAAAACTTCAAACGTTATAATTCAAATCGTCATACAAGTTACTCAATTTCCCGACTCTCAATTCCTCACTCTTTTTCATCTTTTTGGGGAACGAACTCAAGTTCTTAATTTTGTTGTGGTGGTTGGTACAAATATATATATATATATATATATATATGCATAAATGCAAATAAATAAAAGTGCCCCATGGTTTCTCATTGGCTACGTTCGTGTGGCCTACATGAGGCATCTGATTATTTATTATTTTCTCACACTTTCATTACAAAGACTATGCTGAGAGAGAAGCAAACACATTGATTTTTTTAAACGAAGTTAGGATTTTTTTTTTTTTTTTGGGAGGGGACTAATGATTAAAATGCATATTTAATCAAAACTAATAATTATTAACTATTACGATGATCCCAAATGGGTTTTTATGCCTTAAAATATTACATAAGAATTTTTTATCAAAACTATTGAAGATATTTTTCTCGATGTACACAAGTAAATTATCATAACTCATTGATCAAGAGTGGATATTAATGGATATCAAGATTTCCAATATTGTTCGATCTTAAGAATGACTCAGGAGAACAAAAACATTTAATAAAATCTAATCGACATTTATTTTATATAAAATTTATGATATGTACAGGAGAAGTTTTTAATTACGAAGTGCTGCTAAGTTTAATTATTCTCTTTTCCACTCTTTAATCTTATTTACGAAAGATTAAGTTCTTCCCTTCTGGAAGCATTTAATGAAATTTCATCTACATGTTAGAGAAAAAATTATGATTTTTGTTCTAAATGTAAAGCAAACAAATAGGATAATTAACAAAAACAAAAGAAATAAAATGTTATAGAAACATGTCTAATTAATAATTTGCTTGAATGGTCTATTTTTACTATCTAAAAATATTGTTGTACATATAAGGGAGAAAGAGGGAAATAGGCCAAGACTTAAGATGAATTAAAATTAATAAGCCAATAGTTTATATAAGTTAATAAATAGGCTAAATTACTATTTTTGTCCATAACTTGTCTGGTTATTAACCATAACTTGACAAGTTATTGTCCATAACTTGTCTGGCTATGAACCATAACTTATCTGGTCATAAACCATAACTGGACAAGTTATGGCCTATTAATTTTTATAACTACAAATTGGCCTATATACTTTCTTAAATTTTTCATATTGGTCTATTTTCTACTATTTCCCTTTATATTTCTATAGCTTCAATTACTACTTGTTCGAAACATATGACATGCTTAAGCCTTCCATTTAGTGTTGTGCATTGTTGACCAATCATCAAGTTAATTTGTTTTTTAGGTCTTTTTTTAAAATTAAAAAAAATTAAAAGGTGGACGTTTAGTGAAAATATACTTTAAAAAGCCCAATTTCACATGCATAGATAATTAAAGGATATATTTATTTTAATATTATTAGGGTTTATCTTGAGTTTAGATTTATCATTTATTTTAATTTTGAATCTTTAGTTTATCATTATCATTTATTTTTTAAATTAGCTCTAGTTCTATTAGGATTATAGTTTTAGTTCTATTAGTATTCAAACAAACAAAAACCTATAAATTATGTACCTTTATGGCATTCATTTAATAAATAATCATAAATTCTTTTTTTTCTTCTTTAAAAAGAAATTCAGTTTGGTCCTCTAACTCAGCCACTGTTCTAACTATTTTTGAGTCTATTGAGTTTATGAAAACAGACAATTCAAAAGAAGAATAAATAGAAAAAATTACGTCTACTTACTTTTGGATTGTCTATTTTCATACATTAAATAGAACTCGTGATCTTCCAAAGATCGATTTCACTGTTCATGAAGAAAGACCTGATTTACTTTGATCACTTACATGCGCTACAGATGAAAGGAATCCGAAGATCTGGCGAGTCCCTCCCAAGTAAAGCTATGAGAAACACAACAACGAAATCCATTGTTGGTACTGCTATAGTTATGAAAGATCAATTTGTGAAATTGTTATCTGTGTATTCCGCCCTACATTGTATACATAGAAGGTCAAAACTGTCTTTTTAACAACAAAAAGTTGTGAGGATTAGAGGATCTACAGACTATAATAGGTCCTTAACCAGCTTAGAAAGGAGATGTTGTTGGGCACAATTTTTTCATAAACTCCAATGCATTAGTGTAAATACTTAAATAGTAGAACTCGTGGTCTTTTAGAAGTTGATTTCACTGTTTGTGAAGAGGCATTCTCCTTTAGTAACAGGTAATGGATAGATAATACTCTGAAAAATTCGTGAAGCATAGATCTTAACATCTAATGTACATACATGGATGTAATTTGATTTTTTTTTTCCTTATATAATAGTAACTTTCGCACGTGCAGCAGCAAAGGTATTTTTTATCCATGTAATTGCAACTTTCGTCGTGTAGCAACAAAAACTTTACTTATGACAAATTAATATTATACCTTCTCAAAGTAATTACACAGAGAAATATGGTGAAGCGTTAGCGCTTGAAAAAAATTAGTTAAAATCTACTTTAGAAATTATCAAAATCGTTTTAAAAAACTTTTACTTTGTTTTTGAAAAATCTTTTTTTTTTTTTTTTTTGCTCAAGCTGGTAATTATTGACGTTTTTAATAATCATTTATTTGTTTTGATAAATCATCAAGTCACTTTGTATTTTAGGATTTTTTTTAAATTAAAAAAAAATTAAAAGGCCATATGTTTAGTGAAAATATACTTTAAAAAGCCCAGTTTTACATGCATAGACAATTAAATGATAGGTTTATTTTAACATTATTAAGATTTATTTGAGTTTAGATTTATTATTTTAATTTTAGTTTTAAATCTTTAGTTTATCATTAACATTTATTTTTTAAATTAGCTCTAGTTTTATTAGGATTATAGTTTTAGCTCTATTTGGCATTTTGGATTCCTCGTCTCCCTTGAGATTGGATAGTGATTCACTTCTACTTCTGATATTGTAGAAAAAAAAAAAATCTGGCTGGTTTTGCTTATCCACCATTGGATTATGGATCAATTGTTGTGTTAAACATTTGGCTGGTTTTGCTTATCCACCATTGGATTATGGATTATGTCGTCTTCGAAAGGCGTTTTTTTTTTTTTTCTACAATATCAGAAGTAGAAGTCAATCACTATCTACACATCAAGAATTCAAAAATCATTCCTTTCTCCTTCATCCCTCTATATAAACCCCTTTCCACCATTTTTTCACATTGACTCGCTATTTCATCAACCACACAGAAAACACAGCGAGAGACGAACACTTTCTTGAGAGAGAGCAATAGTGGCCAAAAAAAAAAAAAGAGAGAGAGAGAGAGAGAAAAACAAAATAGAAAGAAAATTTTTTTTTGATAATAATTCAGTACATCACGATCAACAGTTGATACAGGAAAAAGCCTTTCGAATCTCCTCTAGAATATTCCACGGAAAGCCGAGTCGTCAAGACACAGCTTCTTGGGCTTTGGTTGTTGGGAGTTGAT